TTAGGGATAGGAGTAGGTGTACCCTTACCCTGAACCAAACCTCCTATCTTGAAAAGGTCTTGAAAAAGTTCAAAATTGACTCTGCCCAACCTGTGAATGTTCCCTTAGCACCCCATTTTGTGCTAAGCAAGGATCAGTCCCCAAGGACTGCTCCTGAGATAGATAGGATGAAGGCTGTACCCTATTCCAGTGCTATAGGGTCAGTCATGTATCTCATGGTAAGCACAAGGCCTGACATAGCTTATGCTGTTAGTTGCTTAAGTAGATATATGGCAAACCCTGGTATGTCTCACTGGACTGCCCTTAAATGGCTCCTTAGATACCTTAGGGTACTTCTTCTCATGGGCTTGTGTTTTCTAAAATTGAAACTGGCATTTTACTTACTGGCTATGTTGACTCCAATTATGCAAATGATAGGGACAATAGAAAGTCTACTGCTTCCTACATTTTTACTCTTTGTGGTTCCTGCATAAGTTGGAAATCTCAACTACAACCTATTGTTGCACTGTCCACTACTGAATCTGAATACGTGGCAGCCACTGAGGCCTTTAAAGATGCTATTTGGCTTAAACGAATGCTAACTGAAATTGGTTTTCTTAAGCAGGTTGTGATAGTGTACTCTGATAGCCAGTCTGCTATCCAATTGTGCAAGAATCCTGTATTTCATGACAGGACCAAGCACATTGATGTCAGGTTTCATTTTATAAGAAATATTGTGGATGCAGGTTGGATAAAGCTGTCCAAGATACCTTCTGAATTTAACCCTGCGGATATGGGGACTAAATGTCTCACTTTTGAAAAACTGTTGTCTTGTAAACGTATTCTTAATTTAGATTGTGGCTAGATAAGAACTGTAAAACAAGAAAAACCGGCGATGATGATTCTCCCTTTCACGTTGTGCTCTACACCACCAGGGGGACCAATAAGGTGGAGATTGTAGTGGTATTGGTCCACCTCCACTGGGCCATCCCTGAGTTGCCTTTGGTCCACCTCATTTAAGGAGTTGGTCTCCTATTTATTGCCCTGGCCCATTTGGGCTGCCTACCCGACCAAGCCCATTCCCTTACCTGTTTGTCTTATACCCAGCCCATCCCGTGTGGCCCTCTCTTATATTGTCTGGTTCTTCTGGAAACCTCCTATTTCAGCCTCTCCACCTTCTCTCTATCCGATGACTCTTCGGTTCTGTTACCCTAGACCTAGAGTGAGAGAGTGCCGGTTTCTTCTGAGCTTTAGCTCCGGCTTTGCTCCGGTGAGACCTTGGGGTTCCTATTGGGGTCTTCACTCTAGTCTGGTAGTGTGGTGGGTTTTTTCTGCTCCGGTGGGACTTCTGGGCTGGGGTCTGGGTTCTGAGTGTGAGCAAGCCTTTGAGCTTTGTGGTGATTGAGGTCTGAGCCGGTCCGATTTTCTAACAGATGGTATGATCATAGTCCTTTGCAAAAGAATTTCTAAATGCGATGCTGGAACTTTATTCGTCTCTGGTGAGGAACAAAATGCTAAATAGACTGGTTGTTGTGTTAGATAATTTTGATCCATGAGTATATGTGTGACACACATGATTAATTTTATTGTTCGTCACATTAGATGATTAGTTATCATTTAAAGAACTTCAAACATTTACGAATAAATCAATCAACGCTAAATTATACTCCGTACTATACTTAGATAAATTACTCTCGTCGCAAAAAATTTTGTCATTTTAAAATTTTGACAAACTATATATTTTTATTGAAAATTATTTATAATATAAAATGGAATGGACATGTTTTTTGTTATAAGTATTTTCGCAGAAGTATAAAATTTATGGCTTACATAATATTATACTAATCAAAATCATATTCTAAATTTTATGAGATGATAAAGTTTTTTGGGATGGATGGTTAGTTGAACTTGTCTCAACTTAGATTACAAACATGAACCTCATTACAGGTGTTTCCTGAAATGGCAACTTAAATATTTGCACCGACGCATTGTCGCATTAAGATCGAGATATGGACTTCGATTTATATTTTTCCATTTAAATTATGTCCCTTAAAATTTGGTTAAGTTTGACCGGGGTAAATAATTATGATTAATAAAGTAAAAATTTTGTGATTGATGTTTGTGCATGGAAGAGAGAATTAACGAGAATTATAAATTTTTTATTCAAAAGAAAAAGTGACAAAGTTGTTTTGAAGGACTGGGGAGTAAATGTGTGTGCAAGATAAAATTTTATTTTGAACTCTTATCATTTGAAAGTTATTTTGAAACATCAAAACATGAAATATCAAAAGTTAATAATAGAACCTGAAATGTTATTTATGACCTACACAATGCGTAAAACATTTTGGGTCATTTGGGTGGACATAAGTGAATGAACAAACCAAACCAAATGTAGTTTAATATTTTTATAAGTCACAATATAAGACTTTTTCTTGCAAAAAAATAAGGCTTTTAATCTCTAATTTTAACTATCCGGCCCCATGTAATTAATCAAACAAGTGAGTTTATGTGTTTGATTTCAAATTGATAAAGTGAAAATAAAATACTCTCTCCGTCCCATTGAACTTTACCATCTTTCCTTTTCTGGATGTCCCAAATTTTTTTGCCACTTTCCCATTAGAGTAATTATTTTGTGGTTCTACTCATTTCTCTCTCCTCCGTACAAACTTCAACAACACAATTTTTACTATTCTTTTTTCTCACCTAACTTAAGTAGTGCAAAGTCCTTTGGGGCGGAGGTAATATAAAATTCAATATTATCAAATTTGACAAGAGACCATTTTAACCGTACGAACCAAAAATAAAAATGGAACAATTTTAACCAGGGTATATAATACTACCTCCGTTCCCATTTTAACTTCCAAATGGGTTTGGCACAAAGTTTAAGATAGTGGATATTGTGTGGTGGAAAGTTGTGCAGAGGAGAGAGAAATGTGTAAGAAATGTTGTGAACCACAAATTCTTTACCAAAAAGGGAAAGTGGAAGTTTTAATTGAAACGGACGAAAAAGGAAAGTTGGAAGTTTATTTAGGAACGGAGGGAGTACGTAGTAAATTTTACAAAGTATCATACTCAAATTCGATTTTTATACTCCGTAATCTATTTGAAAAAACAAAATACTCCGTAATCTATTTGAGATTTATGCTTAATTTTGTGAACGTGTAATATTTTAATAAGTACTCCAATCCATATACACCCACGTGTATCGATGGGGTTATGGGACTAGGCCCAGAGCCTAATCGACCCACGCTCCGGACTTGGACCAGCAGGCCCAAGCCCAGTGATCCAGAGCTCCTTCCGGCTCAACCGATCAGGCCCATCAAAGAGTGAAAGCCCAAGGCGGCCTGCCTTTTAGTCCAGCAGGGAGCCTACCTACCAGCCCAGTTAGCAGTCTGCCGTCCATCCCAGCAGGGAGGCTGCCTACCAGCCTAGCCAGCAGCCTGCCGTCCAGCCCGGCCAGCGGCCTGCCTTCCAGCCCAGCCAGAAGCCTGCCTTCCAGCCCAGCTAGAAGCCTGCCTTCCAGCCTGGCCAGGCGCCTGCCTCCAGCGTAGCAGGGAGCCTGTCTACCAGCCCAGTCAGCAGCCTGCTTTCCAGCCTGGACAGGAGCCTGCCTTCCAGCTCAGCAGGAAGCTTGTCTTCCCGCTCGGCCAGCGGTCTGCCTTCCAGCCCAGCAGGAAGCCTGCCTTCCAGCCCGGCCAACGGCCTGTCATCTAGCCCAGCGGGGAGCCTGCCTACCGGCCCAACCGGAAGCCTGCCACCCGAGGAGATCAAGCGTTCAGCCTGCTAGCCAGGCCGACCTGCCAGCCAGCCAGGAAGAGTAACGGCCAACAATCAATGCGCGACTTAATTTTGTGTTTAATTCCGTATTAATGTTGTAATTAATTTAGTCATTATTATGTTCGGCAGCTACCATTTGTAATCGCCTATAAAAGGCAATTCGAATTTCAAATACAGATAAGCTATTCTTGGCTACCAAATTCCCTTATCACTTTCCCGTTCTTGCTATCCTAATTCCTGTTTGAGTGTCGTACGTAGCTTTCCCAAAAGCCCACGAGCGTCCTATTTTGAAGCAAAATATCATTTGTTTTTTTGCCCTTGGGATTGACAGAACACAGATCCTACAAAACGGCGTGCTAGTCTTCGCAAACAGACTCCTTCACCGCCCGCATGAAATTAAAAAGCCACCATATCTTTGCTTGAAACGTGGCCCTTACTTGCCGCATACTTTTATATACTCCGTATAGAATAAAAAATACCTATGGCGGTGTATCCGTGGGCTTTGCTAGCATCTCGTCGCTCCGTCCCGAAAAGATTCGTCAAATTGACTTTTCATGTTCAACGACAATCAATTTTGATTAATGATATTTTTTAATACGAAATTAATTTCAATATGAAAATTATATCAAAATGTTTCTTATTCAAAATATTTTTCATAAAACTATAAAATATACAAATTATATACAAATATAATAATTAAAATCATTGGCCAAAGTTCGCCATCATTAACAAAAAAAGTCAATATGGTGAACCTTTTCGGAACGGAGGTAATATTTTATATGTCGGTCAAATTATCTTTGTACAAATTCTTTTTGTCCGTGTCACAGACTAAAATATTAAGAGAATATTACCCGAAATAGGATTAAAAGGTTTGAATATAACTCGGGACGGAGGACTGTCATGTTTTTATTCCTAAAATAGGACTAATTACTGTCATGTTTTGGCAGTATCAGACATCAAACATGACACTATTTTCTAAACTTGACAGTAATTACTTCTATTTTGGAAATAAAAAATATGACAGTTTTATTTTGAAATTTTCAAACTGTTTTAGTCCTATTTCGAGAACTTTCCAAAAAATTAATGGTGCAAAAAAGATTCTCTTCACAAAATATTTTTCACTATGCACAACAATTTAATCCACGTGTAAAATGACATGTAAAATAAATGTGTATTTATGATTGTAAATATAAATACCAATTATAAATATAAGTCGGTAATCGTAACTTAACACCCGTCATCCTCTTTTCTTGATTCCCAAGCTTAGTTTCCACATCAACAAGAAAACTATAAATACCGTTTCAATATGTCGTTCCAGAGAATTCCCCTGTTCGTTTGAGTTTAAGTCTTCAGCTTGCTTTTCAGATTACAATTGGAATTCAATTTTGATCCTTCGATTTCCGTTCTTACCTTCGAAGAACAGCTCCGGATCCAGCCGTTATAATGCAGCAACTCCAGGAGTGCATGTCATTCTCCGCCATGGAAAGCCGTTCAAGTTTGTGCGCGGATGCTGAGCAGGAAGTTGTTTCCGATTGCGAGAGCGTGGTTTCAGATACTTCGACGGCCTTTGGTGAGGAGATCAAGGATTTCGACAAGGAGATGATTAGAGTCGGCGAAGACGAAAGGATTCATCATCTAATCAGGCAGAAGCTTCTAGCAGGCGGCCTGGGAGATCATAATACTTCAATCGAGGCCGTTCGTAGGAATGCTTTTCCGAGCTCGACTAAGAAGGCGAAGCTTCAGGCGTTTGAGATTTTCGCCAAAGCCGCGGAGGAATCCGGCGGCGACGGGAGTGCTAATGTCCGGTATGCTTGGTTTGGAGCTTCCGTTGAACATATCAACACCATTCTCTCACACGGCTTTCTGCCTTCTATGATTAGGAACGGAGACCACGGCTATGGAATCTACCTCTCACCTGATCAGTTTCCCCTCGGAAGGTAGGTCTTCGTAGCCTACTACATGTTATTCCTATGTGTAATTGCAGTTTTTTTTATGTTCTGTTTAAAATCCCTAGTCCAAATTAAGCTTCCTATAATCCTACCTGTGGTTCAGACTTGAGAATATGAATGTGTGATATTATACGGAGTATGAATTAAGCTTTTTACTGTTGCAGCGTGAAATCAGCGATGGCTGATGAGAACGGAGTACGTCATATATTGCTTTGCCGGGTGATACTGGGGAAGACGGAGGAGGTGCCTCGTGGCTCCAGGCAATGGTATCCCACCAGCCAAGAATTTGTTTCTGGGGTCGATGACTCTGCGTCTCCCACCAACTACATAGTGTGGAGCACTCACATGAATACTCATATCTTGCCCCTGTACCTTATCAGTTTCAGAGTCTCCTCCTCCGCCTCTGGTACGCTGTGATTCTTTTTTATTTTTATTGGAAATCAATATACGGTTTTAGGGTTGAATGCCTGAATTGGGAACTCAGATTTTGGTTTGCTTTTCAGGAGAAAGAAGAACAGATGCGGCGGAGTTCCAATTTAGAAAGCCGACTTCGCCGTGGATTTCTTTTCCGGCTCTGCTTTCTGCACTGGCGAAATACTTGCCTCCTCGCACCATGAGATTGATTGCAGAGCAGCACAAGAATTATAAGGTTAGTGTTTGCCTGATTGTCTGATTATAGAGTGAGTGCTTTCTTCTTCTTCTTCTTCTTCTTCTTCTTCTATGAATTCGTTCATACGAATTTGGTGCAGGAAAGGAAAATCTCAAGGCATGAAATGATACAAAGAATGAGGAGGCTGGCTGGAGATGAAAGGCTTGCAGCAATCATAAAAGCCCATCGGCCGAAGAATTCCCATTCTGAGACAACAATGTTCAATTGTATCCCTAGTAGATTTCATAAGACCAAAAGCAAAGAGTAGTAAATGTATGTTGATAAGAAGAATATACTCAGAGTAGTGATATTGTTGTTCATTCAGATCAAAAGCAAAGAATTCACATTATGTTATGTAAGGCTGTTTTTTTCTGATATAGTTGTTCATTCAGATCAGACGCTCTTAGTTTTGTTACCATTTTACCTTCATCATATACGAAGTACATATGTTATACATATATTATAGTGGTATCTCTGATCTCTGATCTCCATTTTTGAATGAAGAAACCATATGAAAAAGACTTCATTTTAATAGTGAGGAAATGGTCAATTCAGTACATCAACTTTACGATATGGAGTAAAGAGTACAATATATTGCATTTGATCTTTTTAAGTAAACAAATTCGGGATTTTAGTGTTAATTGAGTACATTTGTTAGATTAACACGTTAATACAGCGGAGTTGGCTAACATAATGTCGAGTAAGAAGGGGTAATGGACCAATGTTATGGTGCCGACCTTCACGAAGTCGACAAAAAAGGAAAAATCGACCTTCGAAGGTCGACCTGCGGGGGCGTCAGCCAACAGGGGTGCATCGACCAAGAAGAAGTCGACCTGCGGGGGACTGACGTCAACCAAGGGGAAGTTGATCAAGTGACTCGGGGCTGACGTTGACATTCAAAAAGTCGACCTACTAGCATTCTGTTAGCCAACTCAGTCGTATTAACATGTTAATCTAACGAGTGTACTCAATTAACACTAAAAACACGAATTTGTGTACTTAAAAAAATCAAATGCAATATACTTCGTAGTGTACTCTTTACTCTACCTCATACAAGTTGATGTACTCAATTGACCCTTAACTCAATAGTTGTGGTATTTACAAAATCCCAAATACATATCTCATTTTTGCTCCACTTTCCCCTCCTCACTCGAATGGTTGTCCTCTCAATTTATTTATAAAAATGATGTTTGTACACACTCTTATACACACTTTTGTACACACCTATGTCTGTGAAAGCTTTTTTTTGTCTGTGAACATCGATTCACAGACAATGTTTTGCACAAACAAAATATTGTCTGTGAACCAGGTTCACAGACAAAAAAAAAGCTTCACAAACATGGTGTGTATAAGGTGTGTACAAGAGTGTGTACATCAAGAATGGTTGATTTATTTAACATCCGAAACTTTCATATCTAATTGATCTCATCTAATTAAAAATTTGAATCGTTCGTATCTTTCAAATTCTTTTAGGGATAAAGACCAAAAATGACACTAAGGTTTTTAGTGAATCTCGAATTAGACACTAACGTTTTAAGTAGACCAAATAAACACAAAATTATAGTTTTTGGGTCCATTTTGACCACCCTTTAACTCCTTTCCCGTTAACACCCCTTCCCCGTTAACTCCCCCATCCAATTAAAGCTACCTTGGAGCAGACAACAATGGCAAGGATCGGGATTAAGGAGAGAAAGCAACAATGGAGGTCGATCGTCCTGCCTCGTCGCTGCTCCGCCTCGTCGCCGCGCCGCCTTGCCGTCGAAGGCGCCGCTCCGCCTTGCCGTCGAAGCTGCCGCCCCGCCTTGCCGTCAAAGCCGCCGCTCTGCCTTACCGTCATTTCATCTCTACGTCTATGACAAAGATCTAGATCTGGTCGTGCTCCGTTTGATCCATAGGATCTCGCCGACAGCTTGGCAGGTGACAAGGGCTATGACGCTGAGAGGGGGGTTGCGAGGAGGCTGGGGCTCGGGTGGGGGCTGGTTTGGGAGGCTGGGGATGGCTAGTCGGAGTTCGATCTAGGGAGTGCGGATCGGGGGTTTGCTGCTCGGATCTGGAGCTGGGGAGCTGGCAAGGGCAGGACAAGGGTTGGATGGACAAGGTCGATTGGGGTGGGCAAGGGGGTAAGGCAGAGCGGCGGGGAACGACGGGGATTGGGGTGGGCAAGGGCTTTTGGGTAACGAAGGGGAAGGGCTTTTGGGTAACGACGGGGAAGGGTAACGGAGGCGTTAAAGGGTGGTATAAATGGACCCCAAAACTATAATTTTGTGTTTATTTGGTCTACTTAAAACGTTAGTGTCTAATCCGAGATTTGCTAAAAACCTTAATGTCATTTTTTGTCTTTATCCCATTCTTTTATATTTGATTTGATGTTTCTGATAGCCATCTTGTGACTTGTGTCATTAAATTTAAAATTGTTTATTTTTATTTTGTTGGGATTAATTAATTAATATCATAAGAATGAATTTAATTGGAGGATACATGTGTGCTCAATGTGCTCAATGTGTATTTATATAAGGGGATGATACATGTATTAATAATCTCTTCATTTCTTTCTCTTCATTTCCCCTCCATTTCATTTTTACTTCTTATCTATCTCTACCTTTTTCTATATGCTACTCACCAACCTACCTCACCCTTAATTTTCTCCTTTCTATATCTCTCCTAATGGAACTCTCCACTTACCGGAGAGGATCCAAATTCTTTTATAAGAACTAGGGGATGGACTTCTCCCAATTTTGGAACTAGTTCGAACTGGACCCGGTCGGTTCGTGATGTTAGATGAGGGGTGAAAATTCGATTATAGGATCAGGTGGCAGTTCATGAGGACCGGTCTCAATCTATAATTTTTTAGGTTGAGACCGGTCGATCCATTCTTTTTGCATTTCAATCATTGAAAGCATTTTAAAAGAGATCCAAATCCATTTAAAGGTTGAAATTGATGGAAACAGAAATGGGGTGCATGAATCGGAAAATATAAAAAAACTAAATAAAAACGAGAAGGTTCTCGGAAAAGGAGGCCTTAGTTCTCAGTTCTCACCCCATAACCGATCGATTTGGGACTTTGGGAATGTAACTCATCGTGTCCACCCCATGACCAATCGATGTGGGACTCGAAGTGACAATGTCCACTACCTTTTTGTATCCATTTCCATCCTTAACGAGTACACATTTTATAAAGGGAAAACTATCAAATAAGTCATCTTCCTACAGCAAAAAGGACAATTAAGCCATTATACTTCAAAATCACCCAATTAAACCCTCCAAATTATTAAAAACAGTCATTTGTAGGTTAACCTCCGGTCATATAGTCACATGTACATATTCATCAGTTCAGATGGGTTGCTGGCACTTGGGACTTTGTCAACATCCACCTGCATTTTCTCTTCTTTTCCATTTAATTTTGTTCTTTTATACGGAGTACGAAGTGTGTCTTCTCGCCTCCTTGCTCTTTTGCTCCATCGTGTAATCCTTTGCCTGCTACTTCAAATCCCTCAACAGTAGATCTTGAATGATTCAACGGAGCTACGAACCTGGTTCTCCATATGAAGCCCGCCAAACATGGAGAAGGAGAAACACTAGATGCCGGAATCCATGAAATCCATGGCATCGCTCGATCGCCGGAATCCATGGCATCGCCGGAATTCTTGAAACCCATGGCATCGCTGCCTTGCTGGAAAACAACTATTCCTTTTAACAGTCCCATTGATTCTATGAATAGGGTTGGGACCGATTAGGTTCTTACTCAAAATAAGTGGAACCGTTATAAAAATTTTAATTAATGAAATTGGTTCGGTTCCTATATAAAAAATCAAGAATCGTTATGAAACCGAATGAATACTAAACGGTCCAATTCTTCCTTTTACCGGTTCCTAAAATAATCTTTTCTCATCGAAGAATTCACACATAATTTACTTTCTACAACATAAACACGTCGAAAATTCAAAACACGAGGATTAAAATTTTATTTGAAGCTCTAATTACTTCAAACATCAAAGGTCAAACTTAACTAGTGAACTCTGAACACTTAATAGAACAAAAGATGATTTAAATTTTCATGTAATAAATAAAACATAAAAATCGTTATAATGTTGCAACAATGAAGGTCACTCATCATCATAGTAGCAAGAATAGGACGTCTACTTCAAATCTTTCAAAACAAAAAAAAGTACATTGAGTTTGCATGTATAGATACAAAAACATTATTACATTCTACTTGCTAGTAGCATGATTTATAATAAATCTAATAACTAGAAATATCATGAAAACAGTAAACTAAAATATGTGCATTCTAGTACAAGTTATTTGGGTTATTTTATATCTATAAAATTTATGTGATGGAACAAAATTTGATTTATAAAAATGGGCTTATATATCAATCTCATGTGCAATATTTGTTACTTCTCTTTTCATCGATTAAATTAGAATGGTTAGTTAAATACTCCGGTATCATTTATCGGGTTATTATTATTGTTGTTGTGGTGGTGGTTATTATTGTTATTATATTATTATTACGACTACTAATGCTATTTTATTTTTTATTTTTTTAATAACGTTCCTTAACGGTTCCATGCACATTTTTTTTACAGGAATCGAGAACCCAATCGTTAACAAAATCTAGGAACCAAACCATTAACATTTAATACCTCATTTCTAAGAACCGAACCGAAGTGGGTTATAACGGCTCGGTTCCAACCGGTTCAACGATTCCCGGTTCCAAAATCCCACCCATATCTATCAAATTAAACCCTCTTCAACTTATATTCTTTAAAATATTGGCGAAATTGAATATGAAAGATATTGGTATAAAATAGTAACAACCAAGAAAGATGATCACACGGTTGTGACAAAAAATATAAGTAGTCATCTATTTATATATAACAAAATAAATAGCTTATAGAAATACAATTTTACCCTTAATGAAGCTCATGTGTCATTCTATCAGCAAATTACTCCTCTATTCTACAAATGTCATGTGGCCAATTCAAGGTTAATATCCAGTAACGAAAATGCAAATTAACAAAAGGGAGGTCACCCTCGATGCTAAACAAACGTGGCATCAATTTGGTGGGGCCCAACATATAAAAAACACACTTTCTTTTTAATTGTTGGCCCCACCAAATTGATGTCACGTTTGTTTAGTATCGAGGGTGACTTCCCTTTTGTTAATTTGCATTTCCGTTACTCGATATTAACCTTGAATTGGCCACATGGCATTTGTAGAGTAGATGAGTAATTTGTGGAGAGAATGACACATAGGCTTCATTAAGGGTAAAATTGTATTTCTATGAGCTATTTACTTTCTTATATATAAATAGATTTGATCATGAAAATTTAGAGGTAGCAAATTCTAATGAGTGGTGTCAATTAATTATCCCTAATATACTCTTCATTCAATATTTTTTGTATGGCTTATACTTTATGATATTACTTTATTGTACTTTTATTTTTCGAAAATAAATTTTAAATATTAAAAGTTGTTTTTATTTTAATTTAAATTAGATAATGAGAAATAACAGGAGTCACAAATTGATTAATTAAAAGGGAAAGTGATAAAGTTTTTGGCACAACTAAAAAAGAAAAATTGGTAAAGTTATAAGGGACGGAAGGAGTAGTTCATAATACTCCGTATATCTCTAAGGACTTTTTCTTATATAGGTGATTGTATTTGTATTCAATTTTTTATTTATAGCGAAATGAATGATGTTACTTTTGTAATCATAATAACCAGGTCGATATTCCCTCAAAAAAACTAGGTCGATATTCGTCCACTTGTTATACTAATAATTTGATGATATAGAATCAAGAAGACAGTTTGGCCGAGTGGTCTAAGGCGCCAGATTTAGGCTCTGGTTACAAAGGGCGTGGGTTCAAATCCCACAGCTGTCAATATTTTTTTTTTTTTTTAGGGAAACCTATCAAATAGGTGTTCTTACTATTACGAAAATGGAGCACTATTACGAAAATGTCAATTAAGCTCACCAACTCAAATATCATCCAATTAAACCCATGAACCTGGAAAAAAAAGGGGAAAATTATCAAATAAGCCCTTGTACTATACCAAAAAGGTCGATTAGGCCCTCGTACTTTACAAACACTCAATTAAGTCCTCGAACTATTAAAAAACGTTCAATTAAGCCCTTTCGGTCGGTAAGTAACCGATTTCCCGGTTAAATGTAACCTGTTTCCCGGAAGCCGTCGTTGCTGGGGTTCGAGCACATCGTCGCCATCGTCGTCGTTTAACCGGGAAATCGGTTACTTACCCACCAAAAGGGCTTAATTGAACGCTTTTTAATAGTTCAAGGACTTAATTGAGTGTTTGTAAAGTACGAGGGCCTAATCGACTTTTTTGGTATAGTACGGGGGCTTATTTGATAGTTTTCCCTAAAAAAAAGTTCAATTTGGCTATTTAACATGTGGTGCCACATGGCAACACTGGTACATTATTGTTTTTTTTCCTTTTCCCTTTTTTCTTTTCTCTTAGTTCATCGACTGAGTCTTCCTTCTTCCTTGCGTCAAGAAGGTCAGCTACATGACTCCGATTAGATCCTTGCCGATGACATTTCCGAGCTCGCTGCCACACCACTCGGAGGAAACCTAGTCCTCGCCGCTCCGGACGAACCAGGGAGATGAGCAGCGGACGGACGAATCGGTGGAGAGAACCGAGTCCTCACAGCTCCAGACGAACCATGATTCTTCGCGAATTGAAACCCCATTTCTGTTAATATTCACCGGGAGATGAGCAGGGTGCAGACGAATTAGGAAGAAGGAAGAAAAGGAAAGAAAGAAACACTGAAAAAGCTTTAAATTGACCATGAATATCTGATTCATTTGAAGCCCCGGCTCCCGGTGAATGAATTGAAGCCCACCTACTTTTCTATTTGCTGGTGCGGCCATTTTTCCGGTGAATGAAGCAGCCAAAATGGAGGAGCTTGAAATTGTTGGGCTGGGGTGGACGAACCAGGGAAAGGGAAAGGGAAAATGAAAAAGAAAAAGAAAGAAAAAGCCACATCACCTGCCACACATGTAATTTAACCGAGAACCGGTTATTAGCAGGTTAAATTGACGATTTGATTCATTTTTAATAGTTGGTGGATTTAATTGAACATTTTTATAATAGTAAGGGGACATATATGACACTTTTCTCTCTCTTTTTTTTTAATAATTTGCTTGGTTTTTAAAACTTTCAATTTTGGAATGGAAAAAGGACCATGTCTTTCCAAGCCATCAAATACAAACCACCCATAAACAAATACGTGAGTAAAAAGATACTACATCCGTCCCGCTGGAAAATTCCCATAGCAAAACGACATAGTTATTTAGGCAATAATTAAATAAATTACTTCGAATAATTTTGAAAAATAATTTTAATAGGTATATATTATAATGTAGTTAGTATTGATAACTGTTAAGTTATAAATGTATTATTTTTAATATTTAATGATTAATTTGTCACTTAAGATTATTAATTATTTCCTAAAATGGAAATGAGAACCTTTACATGGGACGTCCAAAAAAGGAAAGTGAGAACCTTCTAATAGGACGGAGGGAGTAAAAGATAAGAAAAATAAAAAGATGAAAAATAAGGTCACTCTTCACCGCCGTTTCAGCTTTAAAATCGATTTATACCTCTTTTAACATGCTTCCCAATGGTTGACATCTATGTAGCACAGATACTCATTAGGGTACCACGTCGACGTATCAGAAACGTTTACGTATCAGATACTCTAAGATATTTGTACCGTATCTTGACGGATACACAGTCATCTTTATTTATAAAAAAATACCAAAAAATTACATAATCAAATTCTAAAAAAGAAAAACTAAAATTAAATTTTACCATGATTTCATCTAGTACACAACTAAGTATATGGACGAGAAGTAGAATGTGACATGTTGGTGGAGATGATTTTGGGAGCATGGACGATATAAAAGCACTCGAATTTGTCAACCTTTCCATAAATGAACCGGAATTGGAGGCTGTTTTTTCAAACAGTGTTATCCCTGGAAATTAGTAGCTCCGGTGAAAATATGAATTCGAATTTTTAATTTTTTATTAGAGTATTGTTTTCTATCTATATTATCTATGAACTATGAGTAATTGCACGTTTAATTTTAAAATTAGAAATTGCTCTAAATAGGAGTACAAACGTTTTCAAATTCCAAAATAGGAATATCGTGTTTTTTATTCCCTGAACAAGAGTAATCTGCCAAGTTTGGAAAAAATGCCATGTTTTAAAGCCTAGTAATGCCAAACTTGGTAGAAATTTACTCCTATTCAAGGAATAAAAACATGATACTCCTATTTTGGAATTTCAAAACTTTTTTACTCCTATTTAGGGAATTCTCTCTTTTAAAATCTTGGTTGGTTGACTGGAATCTCATTTTAAATTAATAACTTATTAACTATATTCATATTTTGAGATGCACTAGTGTATATATGAGATAAAGAATGAATTTATTTCTAACTATCTTGATATTGTAGAATACGTCAATGCCAAGAATGGACAGATGTCAGAGGATAATATATGTATAATTTTTATTAAAAAAAATCTATTATTTTTTAATTTTTAAATACACCTCTTTAATTTAATTTTTAATATTTATATCTACATCCCCATAACTATTAATATCTATAAATATGTTCACATATATGTATCCTACTTAGGGGTTGTTTACGTTTCTTCATTAAATCATGAATGGATTAAGACGTCTTTTTGCATTAAGCTGTCTGTGTGGATTAAGTGACACTGAGATAACAAACTGTTTACCAAGTGAGCTGAATGAGATGTCTGAATAATATCAAATGACAAAATAACCCTCCTGACGAGAACAAGAGCTGAATGTATATTGCATGTTTACTTTTTTGTTATGAACAATAATTTCATATGCCTAAAATAATAATATATGAATTATTTAAATAAAAGAATCACATTACATAATAAGAAAAGTCAAACATTTTACGAGAACAACATTTTGAATTTAAAATTTCCTACTAGTCTATTGGCAATGTCATTCCGCAAATTCATCATATATTGTGCTTCATGTACTTCTCCTGTAATATCTTCACCTTCCTCTTGTGCTGTTGATTATGTTATTATCATCCCATTCATTAAAAAAGTCATCATCAACGTTAGACTTTCTAATAAAATTATGAACAACAAACAAACAATCACCATCATCTTTGTATCGTGTGAAGGAAATGAAAAGCCGCAATTAGGATTAAATGCAACTTGTGTTAATACCCGAGAATCATGTGATATTCCTTCCCTACAAGTCCAAACAAAAATGAATGCCATGCGAAATAGCAAAAACAGCCTACTTATTTAACAAAAATCAGCCTACTTTTTAAAGAGAAACATGCATTGAAAAACTTACAAAACCCATGTAACTTAAAGAAACTGAAAAATTTGCACAAGCTATAAAAACGGAGTTTTTTCTGCCAAATAAACTGCAGAGACTTCTGACCTTCACAAAATGAACATATTAATCCTAACAGTGTACTTTTTCATGAGCTTTCTTGAGCTCCCTATTCCATGAAGCACATTCCTTCATTAGACCTTGTAATGGTCAGTTTGGGATGAAAAAAAAGTAAAATACCAACCCCAGCTAAATAGTTTATCAAGCATATATGTAGAGTCGTGCCTTCCGTTAGGTTGAAGAGGCTTGGGCCTCAGGGCCCCCAAAAAATTTAAAAATTAGGGGTCCAAAAATTTAACTATCTATATATTTTATGTAGGGGAAATATCCGGTGAAGTCCACTTTTCCCAAATACATTTCATTTATGTCCCCTGTGAATTTACTTTTCATATTTAACTTTCATCTTTTCACTTTTAGTTTTTTATTTCAAAAATAGCCTAAATCCCAAATCAAAACAAGAGATCACAATCTGGCATCTTTACGACCTGTCGAATTGAAGCAGAAGCGCACACGGCTTTTCTCCACACGCCTAGCTCTGGTCGCGCCTCCAACCACTACGTCTCCACCCTCCTCCCTTTGGCCTCCATCTTGTGCGGCTCTGCGCTCCGCCCTCCGTCCTCCGTCTTGTGCGGCTCCACGCTCTGCCATCGGTCTTGTTCGGCTCCACGCTTTGCCATCGGTCCTGTGCGGCTTTACTTCCAGTCGGTTGAAATCTGCCTCAGATAGCTTTGCAGGAGGCGATGAAATCCATCTTAAATCCTCCCTAGTCATCATCCTACAAAGTCTATTATATACTCGGTATGTTGTTATCGACAATTTTAAGAGTAGTAACTCCCGAGTCCCTTGCACAATTTGCTTCATATCTATTGCAAAGTGTACTTCTGGTATGATTCCAGCTACAATCACATGACGACGTTGAAGCAGATCTTGACTCGGCATTCCCTGGTGGCGAAAATTTGACTAAGGGCCGAAGTCAGCGCATTAAAGCCTTGACCGCCAGTAGGACCGACTGGCCAGCTTTAGGTCAACACAATCTGAACTCCATGGCTTTATGCAAGGATTTCAATGTCTGTTACGAAAACTACTTTCAAGGACAAATCCTTTGATTTCACATGGAAATCTCTGTCAGTCACTTGGTACCTGAAGCAAGCAACGAGGGTGGAGAGTGGCAACAACCGCCCTGGTCACTTGAAAGCAAGTATATGAAATTGCAAAAATCAAACGAAGTGATCCCCTTGCCAGTATATCTCTGGAGTCCACTCTAAGTCTATTATAGGTACTACAGACTCAATGGGATCAAGGTCCAGAATAAGCGCGATTACGGTATGTTCTGTTGTAATTACTTTGCTTATATCGCACATCTAAAGGAGTAACATCAAAGTCTATTTCAACCAAATTAAATCAAAAGTCATGTATGCGGTTTAGAGGAGATTAGGTCTACCACCACATGGAGCCTTAGTTTTTCTATTCTTGAGTAGGCATTGTTAATTTATTTCATGAAAACAAAAGAGTGGGATTAGGTAGCTGATTAGGCAATGCTTATTTCTTGTTGTGCTTTGCTTTCCAAGTGCATTGGGTTGTGCTCAATATTGGAGTACAGACTGATGTGTTTGTAGTCATTAATATGTTATCAATTCTATAATGAAAAGTTGGCTTTACTTCTCAGTGCTTTCCTTGCTTTTCTTTTCTTCTATTTCATTTCTGCTATTTGTGTGTTTTTGTTCTAATACTTTTATACGTTGTTTTTCGTTGCATCATATGTGTTATTTTTTGTTGCATCATGTTGTTTATTGTTGCATCATATGTGTTATTATTTGTTGCATCATGTTGTTTTTTGTTTCATCGTATGAGTTATTTTTTGTTGAATGTTGTTTCATTGTGTTTCTTTTTGTTTATAAATTTGCAATTTTTTTGTTTTCTTGGTGTTGTTTATTTGTGTTTTTTGTTGTTGATTTTCATAAATCCAATTTTTTCATTAGACGAAGTAGTTGTTTATATATATCTATGTTGGTTTCTTATTTCTTTTGTATATATCTAAGTTGTTGTATCATGTGTATTACTTTTTGTTGCACTGTGTTTCTTTTTGTTGTAACATGTTGATTTTTGTTGTATAGTGTTGCTTATTGTTGTACTATGTTATTGATCGTTGTTTTTATTGACTTAGATTTTTGTTTTTATCTAGGTTTGTATTACCTTGGTGACTTTCTTAAAAACAAAAACCTAAAATGATAAATTGAGATTTGTGAAAGTAAACAACAACATGAAACATAAAGAAACAATAAAAAACAAAAATTTCATAATTATAAACAAAAGAAAACACAGAAACAATATGCGACAAAAAAAAAATACTAATAATTCAATAGTTTAATTGTTGTAAGAAATATTACATTATAAAATCCATATTTTTTATTTTTCACTTTTTCAATTTTTCAAAGTTCATTATTTTAATTTTTATATTTTTATTCTATGAGTTTATTTTAATTTTAAAGTTTTTTAGGTTACATTATTTTCTAATTTTTTAAAATTTATTTCATCCATTTTTTTTCCCACTTTAATATAAATTTAGTTTAACTTTTCGAATCATTTCAAAATTTTATATTTATTTTAATTTGAATTTTATTTTCTTAAATATGTATATTTTCCAGTTTTTTAAAATCACTACATTTTCATAAAAGATTCTGATTATTTCTCATATTATT